CTTAGGTCCTAGGCCATCCGCTAGGACAAAGCAATACCAGCAAAACTCACAGCGTGAGCACCTGCACAGACAGGCGCCATCGGAAGCCTGGTCAGGACAAGGCGAGGTCTGCAGCCACTCTGCCCAGGGCAGCGCAAGGCCAATTAGAGGGAAACAGTGCACAGGAGACCTGTGGGAATCTCGAGAGCCGAGTGCTAAGTGGGAAAAGCAGGGCAGGACAGGCCACATACTGTCTGGTTGTCTTACACAGAACTCCAGGAGGGTCAGGGCACTCGATGGAAACCACAGGCGTGGCTGGAGCTGGGCAGAAGGCAGCAGAGGAGTGACTGCTAAGAGGAGGAAGGGGTTTTTTGGACAATGGAAACATGCTTCTTGTGCTGGGGCAGTGGCAAGCCTGGTGTTTTCATTTATCAAAAGTCAAAAACTAAAAACACTGGGTGTGACAGTGCACATCTGTGATCCCAGCATCGGGAGGCTGAGGCAGGAGGATCACTGGAGGTTTGAGGCCAGCCTGAGCTATACAGTGAGTTCAAGGCCAGCTGCACTACATAGCAAGGCCCTGTCTCAAAAAACAAAACAAAACAAAAATCAGCCTCTCACTGACGCCTCTTAAAATGCGTTTCTGGGACAATACACCAAAAACTTGCCTGGCCCGGCTGAGGTCCCCGTCTCCTCTTTAGGGGACCCAGTCTGGTGACAGGCTGTGTGGCTATAACAGCAACAGTGGCCAGCTCATTTTCAAGAGTCCGAAGGACCCCTGTGCTGGGCTGACCTGAGCAAGACGAAGCCTGTGTCTGTCTTCACACCGGCTCTGCCTCCTCTGGGGGCTGCAGACAGTGTGCAGCCACCATGACCGGAAGTACCAGGCCACCAGAGAAGGGAAAGAGGCGGCACCTGAGTTCATGGAAGATCTTTCCTCTCCCAGGAAGGACCAAGAGTCCTCCCCTTTCCCGCGTCCCTGTCTGTCCCTGTCATTTATCTGTAATTCTGATTGTTTGAGCCAAGGTCTACTATGTAGGCTGGCCTTGAACTCAGGCCGATCCTCCTGCCTCAGCCTCCCCAGTTCTGGGATTACAGGGCTGCACCAGTATACCCGTTACTGTCCTAAGTCTGTGTAACTTCTCAACTCCCTAGATTTGCAAGGCCGATTTAAGAACAGAGGCCCCGCGGCTCCATTCTTTGGCTACTGAATAAAAAATAAAATGATGCCTCCCCCTGCGCTCTGTCTATGAGTCTCTGGGTTTACTGGCACAGCAAAGAACCTTTCTCTGCTCGCCCAGGAGGCCAGGTGGAACTTTCTCCACCTTGGCAGCCTTATTGCCAGACACACACCCCCTCCGCCGGACTTGAGGAAGCGGAGGCGCCAAGCTCCTGCGGGCGCGGGCAACGTCAATGGGGCGCGCACCCGCGTCGCCTCCCTGCACTCCGGCCTGGTCCGTCCCCAAGGGGCACGGTGACCTCCACCCATCGCCTGTGCCCCGCCCCGTGCGGAGAGAGTCCGCAGACTCCTCGGGTGCCACCCGGCCACCGAGTGGTCCCTGAACCCGGGTGGCCGCGGGTTGTTTCTGTTGCAGTGCTGGGGTTTGAACCCAGGCCCTGCGTGCGCTGAGCCAGCACTGAACCCTTGAGCAACGTCCAGCCCGGGGACGCGGCCCAGACAAGTGTCAGTGCAGTTGTCCTCACGCCAAAAAGGCTGCTCCTCAGGCGGGATCGCCACATGGGAGGGATGAACCCAAATACTGAGGGACTCAGGGTTTTCCATGGCTCTCCAGCTTTTATGCAGGTGTTGGGGATGGAATCCAGGGCCTCCGCACTGAGCTGCAGCCCCAGCCTTTTTGATGTTTTATTTTGAGGCAGCTTCTCGCCAAGTCGCTGAGTTGCCCAGGCTGGGCTCCAGCTGGCGATCCTCCTACCTCAGCCTCCCAGAGTGCTGGGATGACGGGCATGCGCCACCATGACCGGCCACTTCCCGCGGTGACCACCGCCGGCCGCGTGACCCCGAGGGACACGCGAGGGACCCCGCCCCGCCCCTCGCTCCCGCCGGCGCGCGCGTTCGGGGCTGCGCCGGGTGCGGGTCGGGATTGGCGGATGCAGGTGCGGTGCAGGCGGGCAGCGCGGTGAGTGGGGCCGGAGAGAACCGGGCGGCGCAGCTGTCTGCAGTGTTAGCTCTGCTCGCAGGCGCCGGGCCAGGCCGAGCCACACAGGGCCTGCGGAGGAGGCAGGGGCCGGGCGCCCACGCTCGGGTGCGCGGAGATAGTCCCGGAGCGGGCTCTGCGCGCGGGAAGACTACTGTGTAGCCACGCCGAAGGCCGGCGAGCGAGAGCTGGCGGGTGGCTCCTTAACCTCCCGAGTCCGAGTCCCCACCTTCGGGGCTGCACGACGCTCCCCCCCCCCCAGCCTGGAGCGGGAGCCGCTGCAAGGCCGAGCAGAGAGGCGCCAGGGGGCGGGGAGTCTCGGGCACAGGCGGTCGCAGTGGGTCCCGCGCCGCCGCGGCCAGACCGCGCTCTCCCCAGGGGGCGCCGCGCCGCAGGACCCCGGCCGCTGCCCCACCCCTGCGTCTCTGCTCCCAGCAGCGCTGTCCTGAGCCCCGAGCTGCGGGCCCCAAGATGGTCGGAGATGTGGCCCAGCTGGCGGACAGGCCTCGTCGCCTACCGTTCTCCTTCGCGTGTGCGTGACGCCGTGTGATGTGCGTGTGCGATGCTCTGTGAAAGCAGTGTGTGTGTTCATGTGTGACGCTGCGTGTGAACAGTGTGTGGCGCTACGTGTGTGACGCTGCGTGTGAATATAGCGTGCGTGCGTGTGTGTGTGTGTGTGTGTGTGTGTGTGTGTGTGTGCTGTGCGCTGCATTCTCCGCTAACCTGCCTATTCGGGCAGCCGAGGAGGAGGCCGCCAACCCCAGCTCTGCCGATGCCTTCGAGCTCCTGCAGGGCCTGGGCAGCCTAGGGATCGGCGAGGGTGAAACCAGCGCCAGTCGGGACCTGGGGGACCTGCTCCTAGGAGGGACCCGGGGCTGGGCCCGGGGCCTTGGAGGTCAGGTTCCTCGCGTGTGGCGCAGGGAGGCAGCCCTGGATCGAGGCTTCGGGCCCTGCTCTGGCACAGTCTTACAACGACGCGGGTCGGGCCGGATCTAGGGATCCAGCAGCTTTGCCTAGAAGAAATGTGAAGGTGGGGACGTGGCTTGGGGACAGGGCTTGGATTGGACCAGATGCGATGCCCCCCACCTCCGCCAATGCTCTGGGCGCACCAGGGTCCCCGGGATCAGCGCTGGTTCAGCGTTGGGAAGGTCTGGCCTCCTTCAGGCCCGCCCGGGGGCATGGGGATGGGGATGGGGATGGGGTGGGGTGGGCATGGGGTGGGGCGCGCGTCTGCCGCTTTCCTTGAACCAGCAGACTCACACTTGACTGGGGCGGGGAATGCTGGCTCCGCCCGGTGTTGGCCCCGCCCCTCGGACTCCAGGCGGGGCGGCCCGGAGCTCAGCGGCCTTTCGCCCTCGGTGCGGTCGCTGTCACCTGCTTGGCGCGGGGCCAAGCTGGCACCGGTTCTTGGGCAGAGGGTCAGGGCAGCAGGCGAGGCCCCGTGCACGATGGGTCAGGGAATCAGCCACGTGTGACGTCCCCAGGTTTCTTTTCTTGCATTTCACGATGGCCCGAGGCAGGCACTGGATTTACAGAAAAGACGCAGCAGCAGCGGGGCTCACAGTGAGACGCTTTGATCCTGAGCAGGTGACAGCAAGGAGTTGAGGGCTGGTTTCGCGGGGACACGGCGGGTCTTAGTCCACGTTGTCAGCAGAACCAGCAAAGGAGCTGGGTGGGGAAGCCGCGGACCAGAGCGCTGGGCAGGGACCCCGAGGCCCGGCCCAGGTCCTGCACAGCAGAGGGAAGGACCAAACTGTGGCCTTGGTCCCGAGGGAAGGTGAGCGCAATCTCCTTATGCACACACAGAAGTGAATCCCCGCTCAGCTCAATGATCCCAGCACTTGGAGGCTGAGGCAGGAGGATCACCAGGACTTCGAGCCCAGCCCGAGCTGCATAGCAAGACCCTGTCTCCCCCCCCCCCAAAGAAAAGATAGATAACTGCTGTATGACCAGGTAGTAAAGGAACCCGCTTTCAGCTAGAGGCAACCAGTCCTGGAGCCCTGGCCATCTCAAGTCCCTGCGCTGAAGTATCCCAGGCAACATGGCCCCAGGAGTGGCACATACAGATTAATACAGGGATAGATTCTGAGAGGGAGAAGCTGGTATTGCATATGGAGGGGTGAAGGACAAGGAGGGCAGCCCTGGTTTCAGAATTGTAACTGGACAAACTCCATTTCCCTCGCTGCTGCAGGGAGCACGGGACACAGCGGGGCCTGCAGCAGGAGGGTCAGGGGCCCTGCCCGGCTGCCAGCGCTGGACTTAGGTGGACCATGGAGACACACAGGGCTGGTCCAAGTTTCACCAGCTTGCTAAAGCTTCTACCTCAGGCAAAAGGAAAACAAAAACAAAACCAACCTGTGAATATTCCTATGGGATAGAGAAAATAATGGGCTACAGAGCTCCTGCAAGAATAAAATGGAACAATGCACAGAGCACAGTGTCTTGCACCTGTAGTCCCAGCTGCATGGGCTGAGGCAAGAGGATCACTGCTAGCCAGAGCTACACAGGAAGACCCTGTCTCAAACAAACAAACAAAAACCATGAGAGAGCTGTGATGGTGTCATGTTTGGGGGCAGGGTGTACACCTATTACACCATGCTATGGACGCCAGGTCGTTGCTCTACTGGAACACATAGCAACCTGGATCCTGCCAGGATCATAAACTCTCAGCTTCAGTAATCAATTAAAGAGGCCAAGTTTAAAATAAAAGAAGATAGGGCCAGGCCGGGGATTTAGCTCAGTGGTTTCGCCGCCTGCTGCTCAAGCGCAAGGACCCAAGTTCGATCCCCGGGTACCAAAAAAAAAAAAAAAGAAAAAGAAGACAGGGCCAGGGCTTTAGCTCAGTGGTTCCACCGCCTGCTGTGCAAGTGCAAGGACCCAAGTTTGATCCCTGGTACCAAACAAAACAAAACAAAAGAAGACAGTTTATTTGGAAAAAGGGAAAAAAGGGAAGATAGCTACTCTGGGAGAGTAGGGGCCATGAGAAGTGAATACCTGTGGATGTTTGTCCTCAGCTACTTTTTATTTAGGACTAGTGATTTCTCCCATCCCTCATGTGGGCACCTGGGAGTCACTGCCCTGGGACTGGCCTTCTGGCTGTCTTTGATTCTAACCTGAGCCCCCTATCTACATTCCTTCTTTGTGATGGATAAGTGAGGAGGGCCTTATAGAAAGATAACTTAGAGTTAATGATTAAGTAAAGGGAACATGTGTGTTTTATGTATTAAATAAGAACCCTCGGGTGGCTGCTCCTTATCTCCTTTGCATTGTATGGGGGGAAGGTTCCTGGCTACAAGCCTGTGTTTCCTGTTACTCTTCTCCTAAGTTCTTATGTTGTGTTACCTGGCCTTCCTGAATCTGGTTTCTCTCTCTACCATTACCTTTCTTTCTTTCTTTTTTTTGGTACCAGGGATCGAACTCGGGACCTTTCGCTTCTGAACCAGGCGTGGGAACCACTGAGCTAAATCCCCGGCACACCTTTGTCTAATTGCTGGAGTCTAACTGCAGAGGCAAAAGCTGCCTTTAGTAAGGTTCCTATTAATTTCTTAAATCAAGCTTAATGAGATCCTTATGACTCACAGCACAAGAATGAGACCACCTGAGCAGGCTTGCATGATGGCAACCTGGCACAAAGTTTATTTCTGCCAGGATGCAGGTAGACAGAAAGTGAAAATGTTGTTGCCCCAAGGCAAAGAAAGCCAGAGGGTTTTATAAGGTCTGTATGTGATCGCCAATCTGGCTCCATTTGTGTACCTGACTCCATTTGTGTGAAGTCCAGGGCTTCCGGGGGTCCCCTTCCCTTTCCTGCCTCCTTGAGAGTCCCCTCAGTTACTACATAACAGACCACCAGATCCTGTGTGAGTCTGCAACTATATGTTATCTTTGTGACCTTTTGGTAGAGCAGTCTGCAACTACGTTATCTCTACTACCTTGTAAGCAGAAGACCCCCCACCTGTGTGATACTTTGTTTTAATTAAACTGTGTGAAACTGCCCCTGACCCCCACTGACTTAGCAAAGTTCTGCTCCTGTGAAATTCTGCTTGTGCTCCTCCTCTCCCTGAGGCCTCCCCAAATAGAAGAGCCCTGAAAAGGACCCTGCAAACTACCTTTCCTTTGTCCAGAGTTTTGGGTGAGCTGCTCTGGAATGCCGGCTTTAATAAAGGACTCCGTTTAATTCAGAGTGTGGCACATCTCCATAGTTCCAACTGGCCTGGCCCTATAGCATGCAATGGGGGAGTCACATAGAGGGGTCAGGGAGAGCATCTGTGGTCAAAGTTCCCAGGACGGCCAGTGCAGATGTCTGGGCATTACTGGACTCATCCGGAGAGGCTCTTGTGTCCTGTTGTTACTCTTCTTCATAATCCCTGTTCTTTTTGTTCTGGAGCAGCATGACCTGTTTGTGACCTATTTACTGCAGTCACTAAAAACATAATATCTGCTGGGAAAGTCGAACCCTCCTGAGCTTGACAATCCTATTTTACCCTTTTTCCTGTTATGACCCCCTGTCCCTACAATGGGAAGAAGAAAAATAAAGAGGTGTAGAAACACGTACAGTGGCACACACCTCTAATCCCAGATACGTGAGAGGCACTTGACTGCAAGTTCAAGGCCAGCCTGGGCAACTTAGTAAGACCCTGTCTCAAATTAAAAAATAAAAAGGCCTGGGGGTGTCCCTCAGTGTTAGGGCTCCCCAGTACAAACAAAAAGGGTGTGTGTGGGCATCACAACTACAACAAGACACCACTTCACACCCACGAGAATGGCAAGAATCAAAAAGCCAGACACCAGCCAGGTGCAGTGGTGCACACCTGTAATCCCAGCACCCTGGGAAGCTGCGGCAGGAGGATAGAAAGTTTGAGCACAGTTCTGGGAATTTAGCAACTTAGCAAGACCCTGTCTCAAAATAAAAAATAAAAAAGTCTGAGGACATAGCTCAGTGTAAAGCCCCTGGGTTCAATCCCCAGTACTGAATAAAATAAAATAAAAGCCCAATAACAACAAACGTTGTCAGGATGTTGAAAAATCAAAACGCTCATGCACTTTGTTGGGATAGTAGAGACTTTTCTCAGCCATTTTGGAAAACAATCTGGCATTTCCTCAAAGGGTTAAATGCAGAATTGCCATTGTTGTGCCCAGATCGCAAAGTCCCCAAAGACCACCAAGGAGCCGTTTCCCATGTAAACACACGAGGGTCGTTTATTCAAGCTCGAGCAGGGGCACTCAACCGTCACCGACGCAACGGATCAGGATTGAGAGCCCCGAATTCCAAATCAGCAGGGTTTTTATTGTGGCTACCACAAGGTTTGGGGATGTTCCATTTAGCAGTTACATGATTGGTTGATATTTAGCAAGCATGGGGGCTTGAGGGGTGGCTACATGTAGAGTTTATGGGAAAAAGGAACAATCAGCACATTGACAGAGTGTTCTGTAGATAATGGTCCCGGGAGCATCTGTTTTCTGGGCAGACAGAGGATTGAGTTAGGAGCTGTGTCTTTTTATCTGTTGTCCCACAGCAAGGACATTTTATCGTTATTTTATGGGCACAAAGGAGACTAGGGGAATAGTTGACTTCAGTGAAGTGGAATTTATGTCAAGGCCACTTCACTGTCTTATTTTAAGATGGAGTCAAACTTTAAAATGGAGTTAGTTAGGTCTCACAGCCATCTGACCTCTACTGCTAGATGTCTACCAAGAGAAATAAAAGCATCCACAGAAACTTGTACAGAAGGTTTTTAACAGTATTACTTATAGTAGTAAAAAAATGGAAACAACTCCAATGTTCAGTTGCAGATGAACAGATACACAAAATGTAGCACTGTTGTATACATTACATAGATTGGAATTATTTTTTTCATGCTTCAAAAACAAAATATTTATTACACAAAAAAGTAATCTGACAAACTACCAATATGTTGAACTTAGAAAAAGTACTGTTATTTTGTAACTCTTAAAAAAAAAGACATTTTTATTATTCAAACTAACTTACTTCCAAGTTACAAAATTTTGGTTTAAAAAATGCTTCTCAATGACTGCCTTGATTTAGTTTGCTATGCCATGACAAAAACAAAGTATCTTTGAGATGCTTTGGGTATTTAAATAGATGTTTGTAACATAAATTTATATAAATAACTTTTATATCAGTAACAGGCCAGTATATACCCTCCCTAAACACCCTTTTAGTAGAAACAGGAACCATTAATGATGCAGAATAAAACTTACAGTACCTCTCAATTTACATACAACACAATAAGCATCTGAATAGGCTAGTGAGATTTAAAGAATATGGTTAGTCATGCATTCCTGGTATCACTGAATATGCTACTCTCATCAAATGAGTACTATTTCCATTATCTCACATTTTCCTCTATATTCCTTGTCTCCGGGTTGGAATAGCCCTGTGTGGGATATGTAGAAGCGGCCCAGAGCCTGTTGGTCTTATGTTTTTGGTTCGTTCTTCCTAACCTTTGGTAGATTTGTAAAGCCTAGAGGAATCTCTACTGACATTATTTTCAACCTTTTCCTTTGATTTTGCCAATCTTCTTTGTTTTTCTGCCTTTTCCTCTTCTTTTGCTTGCCTATCTAGAATTTTCAATTCAAGTTTATATAAATCTCGTTCTTGAAACCTGGAAATTTCATCAGCAACAGTTTTCCTTTTTTCTGCCTTTTCTGCCTTTTCTCATCTCTTTTTCAAGCCTCAAAAATTCTTCCTGTTCTTTCTTCTGCTGGGTGTAACTTTCTAATAGTAATTTTAGTTTAAGTGGCGTTGGCATTCTTTCTGCTTTTTCTCTTTCTCTTCCTCTTCTTTTAACTTAGAAGCATATTTCATGGACAGTTCTATACTTTTCTGTTTTTTCCAAGCTTCAGCTGCCAATTTCTGTTTCTTTCTTCCTCTTTTTGCTTTTGATTACCTTCTGTTTTATTATGAAAAGCACAGGAATATTGTCTGCCTTCTCTTTTAACTTGAAAATTTCTTGCTTCTTTTGCTGCTTTTTAGTTTTCCAATTCTGAATACTCTTTTTTTTCTTTCTTCTAGAGTCAGAAACTTCTGATACCATTTCTCATGCTGTGTTCTTCCCGGGAGGCGTTCTAGAACTTCTTTCATAAATGCAGGCTTCCCTTTATGTTTATTTCTCACTTTTATAAAGTTCTGGTGGTCATAATTATCCCAGCCCCTCGTCGCCCTCCTCTTTGCTGCAGGAATTTTTCAATCTACCAGTGCTGTTGGAAGAGTATTTGGTGTCCTTTTGTCTACAGAAACTTTACTTGAGATTGCTCTGAAAACTTTCTCTGTTTCTGAATTACCCACAGCCCATGTGTCAGTTTTTCTTGATATGGCACTCAATTCATTATTTATTGTTTTTTCTTCTTTAATAAGCTCATCGTGTATCAGTCTTTGTTCTTCTTTAGAAGTGTTGATTGCATTTTCAATTTCTTCCATCGTTTCTCTGAGCTTTTCAACAAAATCAGGTGTAGGCTTCACATCTTTTAACTGATGCTGAAGTTTCTTTATATTGTTATGTATTTTGGCTAATTGTTGCTGGATTTTTGCTCTTTCCCTTTTCCTGCTGTTAATTTATTTTCCAATTCTTCCAGCATACTGTGCTCAATTCTGAAGTCATTTTTTTTGTTGCAGAAATGACTGTGTTTATCTTTCTCTATAATAATATCTCTTGTTGCGGCGCCGGCACCGCTCCCGCTCCGGCCGCCGCCGCCACGACCGTTGTCAGGGCGGCCATGTTTCCCCACCAAGTTGCTGGGGGGGGGGGGGGCGGGCAGAGCCCAGGCGGGTCTGGGGGTTCGGGCCCGAGCAATTTCCCCGGGTCTCCGCAACCGGTCTGAGGTGCGGACCCCAGGAAGGCGGGGCGGGGTGAGGCGAGGGGTGGGGCATACATCGGAATTATTAACATACACTAGAATGCTATCTGGCCATAAAAAGGAAGTGCTGATGCGTGCTACAGTATGAATGAACCTTAAAAACATTCTGCTACTCCCTTCCGGTCTCTCGCCCCTAGGCGGCGCCAGCGGAACCCCGCTTCTGGTCACCCATGTCCCGCCACTTCCGCCTCGTGGGTGGCGGCGGCCCCTGCCCGAATCCCCACGGGGGGTCTGGGATGGGATCCCCGTGCGGGACGCCTGAGCTGGTAGAACCGCGGCCCGGGGACCGATGGCGATGAACTGCAACGCCAAAGACGAGGTGGATGGCGGGCCCCCGTGTGCGCCGGGGGGCGCCAGGAAGACGCGGAGGCCGGACAACACGGCCTTCAAGCAGCAGCATGGCTGCCCGCCTGGCAGCCCATCCTCACGGCGGGGACCGTGCTCCCCACGTTCTTCATCGTCAGCCTCATCTTCATCCCCATCGGCATCGGCATCTTCGTCACCTCCAACAACATCCGCGAGATCGAGATTGATTATAACGGAACAGAGCCTTCTAGTCCCTGCAATCAATGTTTGTCCCCGGATGTGACACCATGCGTTTGCACCATTAACTTCACACTGGAAAAGGCATTTGAGGGGAATGTGTTTAT